TTTTTTTAAAGTAAAAAAAATCCTCTAATCTTATCTTTGGAGAAACAAGAAAGTTTAGTTCCACTTTTTATTGCAAATTAGTATGCACCCAATTGGAGCAGTAGCACAACCAAAACCAAAAAGGATAAAACTGAATCATTCTTCTATTAAAAAAATAAATAAATAAAAGAAAATAAAAAAAACCAGCAACTTCATAAGACAGAAAAACACAGCTTACAGCATATGAATCCTCAAATCTAGTGAATATGTAAACAACACATGAATTGAAATCATGTCAGCAGAAAGTAACAACAACTTAATTGATTAAAATTTTCAACACATAGTATCATTTACAGAGAGACTCTACAACTTTCTAGGGGAAGGCAGAGATGAAAGAGGAAATTGGAAAATAGTACCCGGGTTAGAGAGGGTTAGGGCTTATCCCTATGCTTGAAGAAATAACTTCTGTGATTGAAGAAAAAATTAGAAAATTGATGAGAGTTCAGAGAAGGAAGAAAGCAGAATAATAAAGATCAATGAATGTTTAGAAAAGGAAGAAAGGAGAACAAGGCCAGTACCTGGGCGATTTTCCTCTGAAGGTGAAACTTGCAAAAGACAAAGCTTCAAACAATCAGCCTTTGTGATTGAGGCAAAGTTATATCAGTGCTTAGAAAGGGTTAGGCTTTCATTGATGGATTCAATAGAGTGAGGGCTAGGTCTCATTTGAGAATGGGAGAGAGAAGGGTCTGCACAAATAGAAATATGAAAGAGCATTAGGGCTCTAATTAGGTCAAAGTACCTATTTCAAGAGTTATAACGTGACCGGAGGCTGAGATGACGGTAAAAAACCCCAATTGTTTACAACCGTCCAGTTATTGCCGCTACACCAGAAATTAGGAAGAGAAAGGTTAGGGTTTCAGCAAAGAGGGAAAGAGGAACCGTTGAGCCTGAGTATTTGATTTCCCTTTAGCAGATCGAAGATTGTTCGTGCCATGGCAGATTGTATCTGTATCGCAGGAAACAAGTGAGGGAGAAAGAGTCGTGAGAGAGGGTTACACCGAATGGAATATGAAAGGCCTTAGGGCTTGAAATTAGGCAAGTGTAGAAAAGGGCATTTTAGGCAACACATAAAATAGGAAGAAGGGTATTTTAGGCAACAGAAATATCAAACAGTATTTTTTCATGTGCCACCTCAGCTTTTGGGTCAAACCCATTTTAAAGAAACTATGGGACTTTGACTCAATCTCTTAGTAAATATGATACCCTAAGTCCATTTATGTGTAATAATCCCTATAATTTATAACGATTTCGATTATATATCCTAAAGAGTATGATAGTGTGCAGGGGTATTTTTCAGAGGATTATACATTCTTAAGAGGATTATAGAAACTAACCTTCTGAAGTTCACAATAACAGGAATGACATCAATTTAAAAAATCTTAATAACAACTTCCACTTTATCTTCACTAGATGAGAACTTATCCTGTCATTATTTACAAAAAATTGAAGTCAGTGAAGGTTTCCTGTCTCGAAACAACAGAAATTTGAGATATATCATTTTTCATATATTGGTCAAGTCAAATGCTCAAAGAATATTCTTTCAAAAGAACAAAGAGGCTCAAGAAAGATGCTGATTGCGAGTGTTAATCATCGAACACAGACAATTATGTTATGTGAAAACCATTGTAGCAGAAAGTACATAACCAATCCAATTATTTTAGTGCATAATAGGATATAGCTTATTTTAACAAATCAACCATTTAGTGGGTACATTCAATTTAAAGCCACTGTCTAGAAAGCACTAAGTTTAAAAAGTAAGGAACACATATTGGTTAGTATTTAAAGAGTATGATATGAGCACGATAAGAGTAATTCCTTGCTTCTTAAGTGACTACTCCTCAAATTTTAACTCTTGTTTTTCAATTGCAATGTAAAACATTTTATAAGTGCCAGCGATCCAACCCGTAAAATCACGCTCTCTACATTTTTCCTATTAAATTGAGTGAAAAAAAAAGGAGTTGCAGCCGGCTCCTTTTGTGTAGTCCCCTTATATCTAATAGTTTCTATCTTTCTTTTTAGAAAACCCAATAGCCTACAATAGCAAGATATTGACAAGATATTTAAATATTCTATACTCAAAAAACAGATAACACATTAACAAGATATATAAAGACTACCAAAAAAGAATATGGAGCTAGAGTCCCAAAAACTTTTAGGCCAATGATTAAATTGCAACGACCGTTCAAGACTCTATTTTATAAAGCCAAACTGAATATATATATAATATTACAAGCAATAGATAATAATCAAGTTTCTATTTTGTTTTCACTTATTAGATGCATGAAATGGATCAAAAAGTTAAGACAAACACTAACTTATGAAATTAGTGTTACATTTCTGCATTTCCAAATAAACCTTTTAAATTAATAGTAAAGCTATCCAAAGATCTCCAGTTGACAAGAGCCATGAATTCTCTTTATGGATAGGACTGATATAAGATTCTCAGACTGTGTTTTTACATTCACAAATTACGATATTTTTCTCAATCCAATAGCCAGTGAAGAGAGCTTATGACTCTTTTCAAGAGAGGGTGACTTCTCCTTTAAATTGATGTCTATTTCCAGCTGAAAGTAACTTTCTTTGATAAATTATCCACCACCAACAAAAGTTACTGATCATAATGTGTGAACAAAAAATGAATTCTGAAGTTTGAATGTCCATAGTGTAACATTAATGCCAGACACCCAATATGTTAATTATTATAAATATCATACTTTATCATCATATAAATAAGCCTAAATACTACAAGAAATTTCTTGAGACACCATGTATGTTCTCACCAGGACTAAAATGTTCTCATTTCGTGACATCAACTGCTTTGTACTCATATTTGAGATCTATGTTGAAAGAGGCCATAACTAATGGTCAATAATTAACAAAAATTTTTTTTTTATAACTAAAATCAAATAAAAAATCAGGGTTTTAGAAAGTGAAACCGGCAGAAGAAATTGACTGATCAAAATTTAGAGAGCGAAAGTAGTAGAGTGAGAGAGACCTTTGAAGTTGAGAGCGATACGAACACGGCAAGAGCAAGAGCTCCCCCAGGAAGAATATAGCTTCAGCTTCATTGGCTCCTCACCATTACTCGCCTATTCACAAACAACCAATAGCTTGTTAGACAGTTAAATCAATCAGTTGAGTCTGTATTGATGTGATGGTGCTCTGTGCAATTGATTGATGATGAAGTAAGAAAATTTTAGTGACAATTCCTTTTAAAAAAAAAATAAAAATAAAAATAAATTGGAAACAGAGCAACTGATTCACAACGAATTTGAGAGACACCAACCATAGTGCACGATAAGAGTAATTCCTTGCTTCTTAAGTGACAACTCCTCAAATTTGAACTCTTGTTTTTCAAGTGCTATGTAAAACATTTTATAAGTGCCAGCGATCCATGATGTAAAATCACGCTCTCTACATTTTTCCTATTAAATTGAGTGAAAAAAAAAAAGGAGTTGCAGCTGGCTCCTGTTGTGTAGTTTCTATATTTATTTTTAGAAAACCCAATAGCCTACAATAGGAAGAAAACCCTAATTTTACAAAACCCAATAGCCTACAATAGGAAGAAAACCCTAATTTTAGAAAACCCAATAGCCTACAATAAGAAGAAAACACAAAAACAAGAACCATTACAACAAAAAAGCTTAAGAAACACCAAATCATCATAACTCAATCCAAATTTACAGCCGAAAAAAGAAAACAAGAAAAATTCAACTGAAACAATGAAAATGCACTGACAAATGTATGGTTTGAAGCTCACCGAGAACCCTTGATCCCTCTTCTGAGCCCATTGTAGCTGGACTGAAAATTGAGCTGGGTTTCTCAATTCCTACAGCGATAAAGCTAGAGAGAGAGGGTGGAGGGACCGGCTTAGAAAGAGTCGTGGAGAAAGAGAGAGAGAGAGAGCAGCGATGAGAGAGAGCAGCGAATGAGAGAATTTTATTTTTAGGGCCAAAGAAGATCGTATTTACTGAACGAATTAGGGCAATATATTAAATTATGGAGAAAGGGCATTTTAGGCAACACCGAAAAAAGTGAGAAGGACATTTTTGGCAAAACATTTCTTGAACAGTAATAACTCATGTGCCACGTCAGCAATTCATTTTAGGGAAATATGAAACTTTGACTCCGCCTCTGAGTAAATACGGAGCCCTAACCCCATTTATACGTAATTATCCCTTTAAAATAAAATATCGAAAGTACACTTCAAACGTTAGATATCGAAATCCCTGTCTATGACCCCGGTACAATTTAAATCAATTTAACCAACTAAAAAACACCTGTTTTGTATATGTATCACTGTAGTAACCATAATCGGGAAGTTGAGGTCAGCAATCCGCCACGCCCAAAACCCAATCTATCTCAACAACACAACTCTATTCTTACTTAACACAAGAAACTAACACAACTAACACTTGATCCTCTACCCAAATCCCCACCTTCTCTCTGTCTCTCTCTATACAACTAATGACTTCCCTCTCACTCTCCAAGCACTCTCTCCCCTCTCTAGTTCCCAACCAAACCCCTAAAACCCCATTTTCTCATAACCTCTCAATTCTCCCCAGATCATCACAATCTCAGTTTTGTGGACTCAAACTCTCTTGTGCTACTTCTCTCTCAATCCCATCTTCTTCACTACTCAAGAGTTTCATTTTTGCCAAGGTATATAATTAACTACACTTGGTTGCTTCGATTTATTGCCTTGTTTTTTTTTGTAGAATAATTATATTATCTGTAATATCTATCATATCATTATCATGGATGGTAATGTATTTGATTGTTTGTGTTAATTTGTTCTCTTTAAAGGTGAACAAAGGTGGGGTGCCTCCATCATTTACATTGAAAGATCAGGATGGAAAGACTGTAAGCCTCTCCAAATTCAAAGGGAAGCCTGTTGTTGTCTATTTCTACCCTGCTGACGAAAGCCCTGGTTGCACCAAACAGGTCAAATCTTTTTCTTTTTTTATTTTTTTTCCATAATAGAATTAAAAATTATTTATTTTTATGAATATATATTTTTATTAACAAATGATCCATTATATCATGGATTTGTAGTCACATATATTTTATTTGCATACAAATCTTAAGAAAAATAAGTGTAATTTGATAAATAAGTGAAAAGGGTCAGTACGCATTAACAAAATTAGGATAAGTGTAATTTGCCATTGAAATTTTGAATTGTGACTTTAAAATTATAAAAATCTAAATACAAAAGAAATTAAAGATTTGATCCATGATATGATGGATCATTTGTTCATAAAAAGGACCATGTGAACAAATCAAACATAAAAATAGAATTAAAATATCATCCTTTTTATGATGGATCATTTGTTTGATTTGATTTGATCCATGATATGATAAATCATTTGTTCATAAAAAGGGCTATATGAACAAATCAAACATAAAAATAGAATTAAAATATCATCCTTTTTATGATGGATTCTTATTCATAAAAAGGACCATGTGAACAAATCAAACATAAAAATATAATTAAAAATATGCATATATTTTTATGAACAAATGATCCATTATATCATGGATCAACTTGTAGTCACATATATTTTATTTGCATACAAATTTTAAGAAAAATAAGTGTAATTTGATAAATAAGAGAAAAAGTCGGTATGTATTAACAAAATTAGGGTTAGTGTAATTTATCATTGAAATTTTGAATTGTGACTCTAAAATTATAAAAATCTAAATAAAAAAGAAATTAAAGATTTTTGTGTGATAAGTTTCGACTTTTGACTATTTGCTAAACAGAATAAAAACTTCTCACCCCTTCTTTATTTTCTTTTTATTTACTAAAGATAAATAGTTTGACTTCGTATTCCAATTATTAGCGCTTTACTAAACAATCATTCAACCCGGTCCAAAGCAACTATCCAACCTAATCCATTACTCTTGGATGCTTCCTAACGGAAAGGTCATTGAATTAGTCCTTGACTTTCTTCATAGAAAATGTACATGCATCATCACCAAACAAAATCACCAAAAAGAAAAATACATCGTAATATTTAAAAAGACTAAATTATATTTAAAAAGACTAAATTATACCTACAGCATTTTGTTAAATCATTATTTCAGAATGTAAAATTGAAAGTAGCTTTAAGTGCAAAACTGTCATTAGAGTAAGTAAAACAATGCATACCTAATTACTTCAAATATCCGAAGAGAGACCTAATTTCTTCACTTTAGAGAAAGAAAGAGGTGACACCTAAAAGTGAGTTGGCACTTAACACTAAGCTTTATTTACAAAAATAGTAATCGACACAACTTAGGTGAAGCAAATGAGTTGTACTATTAAATAGAAATGATGGTCCTTTCTTATTAATCCTAACCTACCCTGCATTATTTTGTTTTTCAAATTTAATTTTAAAGCAGTTAGTCGGCTTTCAGAGGGCCCACATGAAAGATGATAATAACAAATATTCGGTGAAAGGTTGGTCATCTGACCAACTTGAGTACCTCGGTATATTTCTCAGCCCAAATTTGTGTCTCATGACACATGTTTTTTTGTACCATATGGGACTGGGGGTTGTGCCTTGTAATTTGTAGCTCAAAATAATGTTAGTGAATTAGTGGGAGTAATTTAACATTTACGTGTAATTGGGTAGACAAATGTTTTTAAAGTCTACGTAAAATTCATGTCATCTAATCAGTTTTAGCAATTGAAATAGTAAAGTGAAAAAAGAAAGAAGAAAAAAAAAAAAATTGTGTATGTAATTTACTTATTTTGAACAAAGTGATATGAATTAAAATTTAATTCACAACATATTTATTACAGATCTCTTTTATTGTTAATTGGTGTGTCTAGCTCCTAAGACGGCAATGACTCCATATATGTCCCTCTCTTCATCCTTCTTCTAGAAATCAATCATTGTACGTGTTGGAATTTGATGTTACACAAATTTGGGATTGATTTAAATGCAATGACGTGTTTATGTAACTACATAGTACACACATATACATATATATGAGAGACAGGTGAAGGACTGATAAAATAATAGAGGAGAGAGAGACAGGTGAAGGACTGATAAGATAATTGAATATATATATATATATATATATATATATATTCAATAAAATAATAGAAAGAGACCTTCATCTGTCTCTTCACCGGCTAGCTTGCGAAAGAGACCAACTGCTTTTAATAAGACTCACGATGTGATGTGAGTGTTACTGTCTCCGTGTTTCAGTCCACTCATTCCCTTTCTTTACAGAGTAATAATATTATGAGACCTTTCTCATAACAATTCTCACGAACTCTTTTATTTTTTTATGTCATGATTGTATAAATATGGAGAGAGAGTTTAACTGTTTGAAAGATAATTGTTTAAAGATTATATAATTAAAATTTCGTACCAAAATTCATCACTTGAAACAACCAAAGTTTTACATTCTTTGTTTTGATCGAATTACACTATTAACTTTGACCGTCTCATATATTTTTTTTTATTGTATTTTGAATTGATCTGTTTACGGTAGGACTGCAACTCAAGTGGGTTTGAGGTATGAAAACACGCCATGATATATAAGATCTTGAAAGTATAGGGAAATTCAACATCTCCTTTAATTAACAAGCTTAAGAATCCATATATGAATGGAAGGAAATTTCCCCACTATAACTAACTAATTTCACATAATACTACAATAATATATTAAAGTATTAACTAGAGAAGTGGTCATATTTCACATAATACTACAATAATATATAAAGTATTAAGTTGTTATTATGACGGACGTCGTGACCTAGCTTAGTTTTGGCTTGTCTGGAGTTGGTTGTTTTGTCAGTTTACTGTGGGTCTTTGTGGTACATGATATTTGTATGAGCTTGGTGTTTGCTTTGTAAGTGCCGTTGGGCAGGTTTTTTCTGCCAGGGTTAAAAAAAAAAAAAAAAAAAAAAAAAAATGGTCAACATTAATAACTCGACTGTCACTTCCCTCTCTCTCTCTCTCCATCTTTTTCTCTCTCTAACTCTTCAAGTCAATTCACGCGCTAGGTCTTATAACCAGCTCATGCACTATACACATCCATTTACGTTCAAGGACAATATCTCTCTTAAGCAAAAGTCTTAAACACATACTCAAGTGTTGTTCTCTAAAATTGGCATTGTTGGAGCTGGCATAAGCGGTATTTCTGCTGCTAAACAGCTGGCCAAACGCCACCCAGTGGTGTTTGAGGCCACTGACTGCCTTGGAGGGGTCTGGAAACATTCTTCTTTCGAGTCCACTAAGCTTCAGACCTTTGTGATTATGAGTTTTTGGATTATCCTTGGCCTAATAGGGATAATTCGAGTTTTCCATCTAATTTAGAGATATTGGATTACTTATATTCTTATGCTACCTACTTTGATTTGCTCAAGTTCAACTCAAAGGTGGTAGAAATCCGGTTTTTTGGTGATCGTGAAACCTCCGATCTGGTGGTAAGCCGGGAGAATATGCAACTTTGCTGACTGGCCAGCCAGTATGGGAGGTTGCTGTCCGGGACTCAAACTCTCTTATGCTACTTTTCTCTCAATCCCATCTTCTTCTACTTCTTCACTACTCAAGAGTTCCATTTTTGCCAAGGTAATTAACTATAACTACATTTGGTTGCTTCTATTTATTGCCTTGCTTTTATTGTAGAATAATTATATTATCTGTAATATCTATCATATCATTATCATGGATGGTAATGTATTTGATTGTTTGTGTTTATTTGTTCTCTTTAAAGGTGAACAAAGGTGGGGTGCCTCCATCATTTACATTGAAAGATCAGGATGGAAAGACTGTGAGCCTCTCCAAATTCAAAGGCGAGCCTTTGTTGTCTATTTCTACCCTGCTGATGAAATCCTGGTTGCACCAAACAGGTCAAATCTCCTTTTTTTATTGCTTCCCATTTCATAATTCTTTTCTTTATAATCAATGTGATTGTGTTGATCTAATTTCAGGACAACAATCACATAATATAGTTATCAAATCATTCTAAAAAAATGTCCGGATATACTCATCTGCATCTTAATTTGTCCCAATTTAATACAAATATCCAGAATGCTAGTATGTTATGCACCTATTCTGTAAATGATTTTTTTTTTTTTTTTTCCCAGTTTTTTCTGAAATTTGTTAACTGTTATGCTCAATTTGAAATGACAACATGTCCTTCTTCATCTTGACTGCTCTTTACTCTCCGGGTCATTCTTGAATTGTTTGTAAGCGAATCACTGTCAATATTTTTCTACAATATTTTTCTAAGTACATCTTAGGAAATACATTATGCAACATTGGTTTGGTTAGAAAATAGAAGGCGTGAAAGGAGGAGTGTTGAGTTGATTAAGTGAATACCCAAACAGATTACTTGATAATTCAGAAGTTAACAACTTTGAAACTCTTCACAGGCATGTGCTTTCAGGGACTCCTATGAAAAGGTTAAGAAAGCAGGAGCTGAGGTTGTCGGCATAAGCGGGGATGATCCATCATCACACAAGGTAATGCAAAACATCTTGCCCTTGACACATTCTAAGCAATAGATAGGATGAAATTTAACCTCTAGTCCCTGCCTGCACCCGAAGGTTACAATTATAACTGTATGACTTCGCAGTATATTGCTCAACGATTTAAAGGCATCCAGAGACATCTGCTCTCTGTACTTGATTGCGTAGGAATTAGGAATATTGATGTAATTAACATACTTGCTTTTCCTTATTTAGTAGGTAAGATTAAACTTGTTATCTGCTGAAGATATCATTGGTCAAAAAATGATATGGTTAAGTAGTTTGAAACACGTGTCAGACTATCATTATAAACTTTATGCCTAAGAGTGACTAAACAAACTTAAGCGCCTGTTAATTGCATAATTTCATTGACTTAAAACTGAATAATGTAATAGAAATAATTATTTACGCACCTTGAGTTTGTTACCATGTGATATTGGTTCAATATTTCTGGGGTCATTTTTTTAGAATGGAAGCTGCTTCATTTTTTCAATCTATTTGACCTATCCATTATCTGTTCTGAAATCAATTACAATAGTTAGCTACTCAGTATTGGTATGCTTGCTTGCTTTAGAGAAATGGAGAATCTCGAGAACCTTTCTGAACGTCCGTCTTCGGCGATTTGAAAAGGAGTATATCTTTCTTGTAGTGCCTTCCATGACACTATTCTGATCGAGGAGAAAGAATCTCTTCCGGACGACCAAGTCATAATGAGATTAAAAAACGATGCTTCCTTGGCCGTGTGGAACATGGATTAGCATTATGTCATTCCTACAAGCGATCCCCCATCCAGGATTTACAGAAGTGCTATATGAGGACTTCGAGATCAAATAGAATATGTTTCTTTCCATTCCTCGTGAGCCACTTATTTCTCCGAAACAAGAGATCAAAGTTCTTTTCCTCTTGTTTCCCAATAAGTCGATGGCCTTACACCATTGAGATACTTCGAATAAACTGTTGTACATATAGGATACACCGGTGCTCAAACCTTTTCTCAAGATATCTTCCAAACTGTTGGGGTCGTTGCTCCGGATGTTGTTCTCCCGGTGTGAAACCAGTTGGTTCCGTAGTTTGAGAATTCTGCTGATCCCAAGTACTCCATCTCCATCATTGAATAGGGGAATATAGAAAGTCAAGAGGAAAAGGCATAACCAGAAGAATTGTGTGAAATAAGTGAATTTATCCAGTTGAGGCATTCTTGATTGAGAAAAAATGATTCCCTCCAGACAGAAAGAGACTCATTCCTGTACGAGTAGTGAAGAACTATAGAGCACTTTTGTTGGTTGTTGACCAACGGAAAGCATGGGAGAAAGAAAGATGCACAAACGAAAAAGGGCGCTAGCGCCCGACCAGATCAACGAAGGGGGGCACCGGCCGAAAGTTCGGCACGTGAAACCCTATTTGCCTGCATTTCCAAGAGCGTGTCCACAGCCCTACGGAAAAACCTGCTTTGCGCCCCTTCCGCGGATAAGGAATCCCTTATCTCGCGAAAAGTAGAAGACAACAGGTCCGGGGCGCCCTCGTCGGGAAGAAGGTCTATGGCGTGCAGGATTTTTACCTCATCCGTATTTGCCCGGACGCCCTGTAGAACCCCCTCAGTTCGAATCAGGTCGCCCAGGTTGGAAAAAATCTCTGTTTTAAGAGAGTCAATTTCCTCCCCTTCTGAACGAAGAGCGCCGTTCACGAGCTCCCTTTCCTCTGGACTCAGCAGCCCCTACATGCAGAAGGCCTGGTCAACCAGGGTGATCAGCGCAAGGCCATCTAATATATAAAGGATTATGAAAGAAAAAGTCAGTACGAAAGCCGGATGATAGAACAAAAATAGTGAAAGGTTGACACGCCCCTTCAGAAGATGCAGACAGCAAAAGTAAATGAAAAAGAAAAAAAATATGAGTAGAAATACCATGTGAAAATAAAATCTTGATTTATCTGCTCGCCCATCAAATCAAAAGGCGGCATACCGGAAAAAAGAAAAGAGCGGAACCAAACCATTCAAATAGTGTACGACCCAACACGGAACAAGAAAATCAATCTCAGAAAATGAAGTCGGAAAGATGCGACAGGAAATCAAAAACTGCTTCTCCACTTTAGCCCGAAAAAGGAGCTTTGGGCGAAGAAAAGGAGAACGATTTTCCAATGAAAGAGAATTCGTCTATATAAGGAAATAAAAGAGCGAAGAACCGATCCATTGAGAGACTAAGCAGCGCCGGAACACCAACTTCATCTCGAACCACCCACCCGCACAAGAACCTTCAAAAGACGAAAAACTCTCTTTTAGTTTCGTAAACTCATTGCCAGTTGACGCATACTTTCAACCTTCTTTCCTTATTCGAGTAGAATATCGACTGTTTGCTGCCCTGAACCTACGCCCCCGAATTCATCATCTATTCTGAACATCGCAACCGAAAAAGCTATTGACCGGTGATCTTTCAAAAAAGTTGCACGCCTGTTCTTCTCTGAAATAAGGGAAAGTTGCTCACTCAAGTTACAGCGGAAGAAATTCATATTTCGTATAGAAACGAAAGCATATGCTAGTAGAGAAGGGAATTGCCTACTAAAGCTCTTTGACGAAGGCGTTTTCTCGTTATTCCGTTGTTGCACAGGTTCCAAAAAGTGAGATTAGGTTGGTGTTCCAGTGACGCTTAATATCTCAGCTGTCACTGCGGGAAGCCTAGCGTGGGTGCCAGCGTAGAAGTGCCCTTGAAATCAGACTTGTGCCATACTTGAATCGAGATTCCGTTGTCATTGGACTAGACAGAGGAAAATGGTCAATCTATCTGACCAAGCTCGACTGACAGGAAATGTTCTACTAGTAGGTTTCGCTTTTTACCTTTCAGGTTCTTTGTTAACAGCTACTCTGGTTCAAGGGTAGACAGTAATTCCTCGACCACTCCTTTCGGAATGACTTTGCTTTTGACTGATCGGCGAGTCGTTCTTTAGGGAAGGGGCCTTGAACCTTCTATGTATACGGGGGCGGAGGGACGCGAAAACAAGAAGCAAAGGGAATAGGGAGCACCCCACAAGCAATGGTTTCAAGCTAAAGCTCTAGTGATTAGAGAAGGCTTCCAAATTCTCCATAATAGCAGCAGTTTGATGTTATCAGTCTACAAGCTGATATAGATGGAAAATGACTGTTTGGAATCCATGTGCGGGGAGACTAGGAAAAGAAGCGGAAGGGAGTCAGAATCTTGAGAAAATAATAGCCAACCAACAAGGGTGGACAAAGCTGCTCTTCAGTCAGGTTTCTTAGTAAGCGACCACAAGATAGGAGCAGAAGCAAGGCGAAAAGTCTCCATTCATTTCACTAGACCGGCAAAAGGGTCCCCTATACCTGCGTGATCAAACTGACTTTTGTCTGTTGCATGAGGCTCATCAATACGAATCAAATAGGAAGATTGTGCAACTAAGCTTGAGGCAACTTCTCAATCAAGGTTAGATATCACGAGGTACACCGTCATGTCAAGTCAAACAAATGTCAAATAAGCCCATTTATCTCATGTCAAAAACGAATGCAATGACCATCGAATTTAGCGCGAAACCGCTTTATCTGCCCTTGTTGATGGATTTACTATTTCTTCGTCCCTTTTAGGTTTTGCAGTCTTTTATGAGGCCATCTAATCGCAATAATGCTGGTACGAGGGATGTTACACGAACGAAGGGGTCTTTTCGGCACTCTGAATCTGCCCGGGGAGTCAGCCGTATCGCCATCATCTGCTCTAGCACTTGCGGCAGTAACGGTACGTGTTCGTACCTCTAAGCGCCTTCTTCATGCACTCCCTACTCCTTATTAGGGAGCCTCTCCTTACCTACATAATGTAGTTTTGTGTTTTGTTGTGCCAGGCTTTTCCTATAGGTCTTAGAACAACACAAGAGTGGAAATTGTGGCAATAAGGGTAGTTTCGGACCCATGAACCCATAACCCTAAGGGTCAGGTTTAGCAGCCGGTGAATTTTAAACACCCTTCAACAAGATTTTCGGATTGAGAAAAGGGAAGCAATTACCCAAACATTGAATCAAGCTCGACCAGGAAGAGTTTTCCACTTCACTTGATGAAAAGAAAGGGTGTGTGGTACCTGTAGCAGACCTTAATGCCTATTCTTATAGTAAAGGGGAAAGAACTGAGATTTGCTTATTATAGTAATAGGAAACGAGACCTCCCAGGCCATAAGTCAAGAAAAAACCAATATTCCAACTCTCGGCGAGGGCTATGAGAGTAGGTTCTGTAGATCTTAAGTTGTAGTGCTGGACTTCTTTTTGTTCCCAATCTGCATCGGAATGGTGGTACGAGCTGAACGTTCATTAGAGTCGAAGTTGGGGATGAATGGGACATTCTTAGTTTAGCTGGAACCGAGCTGTGGCAAATAAGACCCTGGTTGGTTGGCCATAAAGGGTCCTCCTCTACTTTCAAGTGTACACAATCTACTTTCAAGTGGTGCCTGGTCGAGAACCGGACAAGGGCTTCTTTCTCAGCCCAAAGTGTCCGCCGAAAGCGCTGTTTCCGTTAGAGTTCTTCTGGCCCTTCCTCCAAAACACATAGGTCCCTTAGAATGATCGTTGTCTTATTCAAAGGGCGCTGCCCCAAGGAATAGATGAAAGAGAGCTTCGGCTCGCCTACTTTCCTTCGAAGCTGAAAGGAGTGAAAGCGAGGAGAAATCCCCGACAACAAAGAATTTTGAGAAAAGAAGCTTGTAAGTCGACTCTCAGTTCCCTTACTTCCTGAGCTGGGATGGGACTATTGAACTAAGGCCCAACTGCTCTTTTTACATAGCCTCGCTATTTGCCTTCTACGCTGTGAATTACTCATCTGGACCTACTTCTTTTACAAAATATGATGGGAGGAC